TAACCGAACAAGCCTTGGAGTAAGTAAACTACCGACTGACCGACTGACCGACCAAGCAGCAAACAAGTATTCCTTTATTTAACTGACTCTTTTAGTCCCGCTCTCTCGCTCGCTCATCCGCTCTTCACACACAATTTTCTTCTCATTAACCACGCTCTTGTTCCTCCCAGTCTTGCACATTCTGCCTGTTTCCCCACACTCGGAAACTTTCTCATCCAGTGATTTGCTTCATAGTACAAGAACTTTTCTGTTTTTCTCTGCATAGACAGTTTTGCTGACAGAATGGCATGCATGCTTGAATGTATTCTCGTTTGTCTATCCGTCCACCTGTCTGTCTGTCTATCTGTCTGTCTGTCTGTCTATCTCCCTCTGTCCCTCTATTAGAGCCCTTGACTATTTGCTTTTCTAATCATCAACCNAACCGGTCTGTGTCTTCGTCTGTCTGACCCTCGGTAGTTTTGAACGCATGCAGAGATAAATTGAAGAAAAAACCTTCGCGTTGATGTAGGTGCACACAGTTTTGCTTATGCGTGTATTTTAGCGCGCGGGCAAGAGAGGGAGGAAGGGAGAGTGAGTGAGTGAGAGAGTGAGTGAGTAAAATATAGGCAGAAGAGAAGAACCGGACGTGATTGAAGGAAACTTACCAAAACGGATGGATGGATGGATGAATGAATATCCCGTGGAATATCACTGTGCAGTTTTGCCGAGCACAGCACAGTACGGCGCACCATCGTTTGTGCGGTCATAGAGACAATGGTGCGAGGTAAAAACTAAGGCTTTCGGTGAGTATGGGGCGGGAGGGCGGTGTCGGTGTCGGGATGAGTAAGGGAGAACCGGAAACAACACAAGTTTTCATCCTCTTTTCTTACATTTCACTCTCATTGTTCACAAAACGGGTGTGGAAGGAATAAGGTGTCCGATGCGGGGTAATTTGTTTTCTCTATTCATCCATCCATCCATCCATCCATCCATCCATCCATCCATCCAACTGTCTACTTTTTTGGACGAGCGGGTGCATAATTTTCACTGTTGACGGTTGGTTGGTTGGATGGATGGATGGCTAGTCAGTCATCAACTATTCTCCTTGGGCAATTGTCAAATGACCTGAATAGACGGACAATTGGGAGGATCGGAACGTTACTGGTATTTCTACTTTGTCCGAAACATAACTAAGTTTTCCGCCTGGTGGATATCACTCGGTTGTATCGGTGTTAACTATGCGGAAATATCAAACTCATTGTATGGGTACAACTGTGAAAAATAGGTAGTGGAATGAATGGTGAATTATATCGGATTTTGGTATGCAGTAAGCATACATACGGATAAGTGTTGGGGCTTGGCTGAAACACGCAACGTGTCTGTGGAACCTACACAGATTTGAACTCAAAGGTCCGATCAAGCAGACATTGAGTTCACGGTCCTTTGTGATGTATTGTATTTTTTCAATATCCTCAGTGGGCATGGCTACATTTGAGATCGTTACTGAGTGACTGACTGAAAAAGACATTAATTTACAAAACTGATGGAACCAGCACAGCGTTGGTTTTAAATGTAGCACACAACTGGGGGTTCACTGTTTTTATTGGATGGTGATTTTTCACAAAATGATTCAGTCACTACAGTTGGTGGTCGAAACTGTACTACACCACTCCCGTTTTCCATATCATACCTGTATATCGACAGCTATGGGTGAAGAGTATTCATTCTGAACTTTATCTCTCACTTAGTTTCCTTTTATCACCATTGAATTTCGCGGGACATTGAGCGAAAAGATAAAATTTATGGTAATTTGAGTTATATTTTAGGTATTTAAATAATAGAAGCAAAAATTCAATGAATATCGTTGCAGATAAGTTGTGTCCCATGTATGGCAATTTCACTTTCTATCACGTGAATAAAGCTCAAAACAGTAAGCGCTGGTTGGAATTTATCTGACGAAAGTTATAGCGTTGTATCTGTTGTACTGTTTCCACTGCTACCATTACTACTACTACTACTACTACTACTACTACTACTACTACTACTACTACTATTACTAGTACTACTGTGTGATCGTCTCTTCATCGATGAGTTACAGCCTGGCAGTCTGCTTGTCTCTTCTGTATTTACAACAGTAAATCTTTTTATCCACTCGTGGATGTCGTAGTAATCCAACAACCGCTTCTTGGTTTGCGCAAGCTACTCAAAAATGTGAGTAGTATCTCAAACTACTACCACTACTGCAGTGATAAGTATATAAGACCAATGTCAGACTATAGATATGTGTGTATAGGAAGAATGACATGTATAATAGGTAAATTAGATTATATCAATTGAGAGTTTATCCGGTTCAGCTCATAGATTCGTGCACTGCGGATAACGTTCACCTAGGTCGAAACGGTGCTTCTTGGCTTTCCAGTCCACGCTTCATTTGCTTTGTATACGATGGAATTCACAATATGAGCTTTCTTTTTATAAACGACGGATTTTTTTATACTCATCATGGCGTTAGACAAATCACAGTCTTGAGCTTCTTCTCTTTATCACTGGCCAGTCTCATATGATTCTGTTTCTTCAGATTTCTGCAACATCATACTCCGAATCATTTCTAATGGGTTCAAAACAATGTCGATCATAATTGTGCTATCATTCTGTCTGTCTGTCTGTCTGTCTATCTTTCTGTCGCACGCATGCACGCACGCACGCACGCACGCACACACACACACAGACACGCACGCATGTAACAGTGATCGTTGAACCAAATATTTTTCGGACTGAAAAATCAGAATGGTTTCTATATGTGATGACCCAGTGTTATGCAGGTATGACTGAGTGACGAACTGACTGTGTGACTGTGTACTCAGAAAACCACTCAAATAAAGACGAGTGTGACAGATAAAAAAACGGGACTAGCGAAAGAATCTTCTCGGAAAATCGCATTCTTTTTCAACCGAGATTATTCACTGAATCAGCTCATCTATGTCCATTGTGCATTTCTGGGTTTGTGTGTGTGTGTGTGTGTGTGTAACTCCCTATTTCGAGGGGTTTAAATACTTTCGTCTGACAAAACAATGCCAGCTTATGCTCTC